GTTCGAAACTACCAGCCGCTCCGCGGGAGAAAGATGAGGCTTTCTACTCCCGTAAGGATTTACACCCTCGGAAACCCTGTACAGGGTCGCTATGGGTCGGCTCCGACTCAAAGGCACTTAACAACAACAACAACATGTATATATATATGGTTACTAAATGCTGTCAAGTCGGTACCAACTGATAGTGAAACTGTATCGGGTTTCCAAGGAGCGGATGGTGAGTTTGAACCACCGTGAGGTTCAAAGTAGCTTTGCAGTCCCGTGCATTAACCCTACAGCACCACACTAGGACTCCATTTTGTATATATGTATATAATTGTTGGACTCCTGGTGTGGCGCTGTAGGGTCAGCACTGGACTGTGAACCACAAGGTCAGTACTTCAAACCCACTAGCTGCATCTCAGACACCCTTATAGAGGGTCGCTATGAGTCAGAACGAACTCAAAGGCACTTAACAACAAGAACGTGTTGTTAAGTGTCATTCATTCATTTCCGATTCATAGTTTCTGAGGAGTAGCTAGTGGGTTTGAATAGCTGACCAGTGAAGTTCAAACCGACCTTACAGGCCATTGCACCCCCCACCACATATATAAATATATTCACATATTTTGTTAATTGCCATTGCTTATCCTACAGTGCCTTCCCATATATATAAATATGTACAAATATATGTTGTTAAATACCACTAACATTGTTCCAACTCCTAGTGACCCTGTATAAGATTTCTGAAGAATGACTAGTGAGTTTGAACTGCCAACCTTGCTGTTGAAATCGACATTGTGGCCAATTGTTTATCCTACAGCACCGTGTGTGTGTGTGTGTGTGTGTGTGTGTGTGTGTATGTGTGTGCGCGTGCGCACTATGAACGGGTTCTTCAAGTGCCGATGTACATGAAGACAGCATACACATGGCACTGCAGACCAAAGAAACTAAGCACTGAATTCTGACACCATTGGAGGACTCCTGACACCATTGGACGGCCTACAGCGACGCTCGGGATGCGTGTGTCTTTCCAGTCCTGCTAATAATTCAGTCACCTGGATGTCTCAGGAGGCTGACGCAGGAAGCCGGATCATTGCGGGCCTGTAAAGAACTACACACCATCACAACGACGCGGCTGGCCGCCATCTTTCAGCAGAGTATACTGAGTGCTTCCTTGTCACTGTTGACAAGTGCCGTCGAGTCAGTTCGGACCCATAGAGACCCAGTATAAGGTTTCCGAGGAGCGGCTGGTGGACTTGAACTGCTGATCTTGCATTTCAAGCCGAGTTTGCAGTCCAGCGTATTAACCCACAGCACCACACCAGGGCTGCGATTGCATCCTAGTCATGCCCAAACCTGTTATGTTACATACATGCTGCCCTCATCCTTGTCAGCAATCACTGAGTGATGACGAACCTGTTCCAAGTCCCAGTTGTTGTTAGGAACCGTCAACTCGATTCCTACTCACAGATACCCTATATAGAGTTTCTGAGGAGTGATTGATGGGTTTGAACTGCTAACCTTGAGGTTAGCAGTCCAGTGCTTATCCTAAAGTGCCATACCATGACCCATACATACATAAACATATAAATGCATATTGTAATATGACGACATTTCAGAACTTTGCAAAGCACTGTTTTCCTGTGTTTTAATGACACTCACCTGGAATGTCTCCCTTGGTCTTTAATCTGATCTTTACTGACATGCAGTTTGGAGATTTCTGCTAACACGGAGGGCCAGGTGTTGTTCTCTGTGATCCGCATAGTTAACTGTTCACTGGATACCTTGTCTCCATTGTGAAGGTCTCGAGAGACTGACCCAATCATTCAAGTTGTGGTTCACAATGTGAATAGAAAAAAAAAAAAAATTGAAAGAATTAACAAGGGGAAAATACCTGCTTTGAACACAGGAAGATTTAGCTGCATTTTGCTGTTTCAGCAGTTTGGAAATAGTTTTTAAAAACCAATATGTTGTTGTTAAGTGCGTGACTCATAGCGACTCTGGACAGGGTTTCTAAGGAGCGGCTGGTGGGTTAGAACCACTGACCTTGTGGTCTGCAGTCCAGTGAGGGTTCTAAGCAACAGTGCCCTAAGAGTTGTAGTTGTGAGACTAGGAAGAGGAGTCCTGGTGTGGTGCTGCGGGTTAATGCGCTGGACTGCAACGCCGGTCTCAACCGCATGGCCAGCAGCTGGTTCAAGTTCAACAGCCGCTCCTCGGAAACCCTATGAAGCGTTGCTATGAGTCCGAACTGACTCGGCACCACTTAACAACCACAAGTACAAAGATTTTGGGCAGAACACATGTGGTTGAGTGTCGTTGAGTTGGTTCCAACTCATAGCCACCCTGTACAAGGGAGCGACTGGTGAGTTTGAACTGCCAGCCTTGGGGTTCAAGCAGACCGTGTGTTATAGTGCTTTATGCCACAGCGCCACAGCAGGACTCCGGACAGAACACAGGTTGTTGTGAAGTGCCGTCAAGTCAGTTCCGACCCATAGTGATGCTAAGGAGCAGCTGGTGAGCTTGAACCGCTGACTTTGCAGTTCAAATGGCTTTGCAGTCTGGTGCATTAACCCACAGCGCCACACCAGGACATATACACATAAGAGTCTTTAAGAGCCCAGGTATGAGAGGCCTGCTCAAGTCAGACAAGCAAGCTCAGGTATGTGTGAGGTTGTTTCTTCAACACAAAAGAGACTTTCCCTAACTCTATTCAAAAGTAATTCCCTTCAAGCACAAAAACTCTTACTTTTAACACATGGCGATGGATATCCATTTGTAGAAGAATGAAACGGAACCCATACCTCGCACCACATACAAAAATGAACTCAAGATGAGTCAAGGACCTACATATAAGGTCATCAATTAAAAAGACAATGTGGGATAGTTTAGGGCTGTGATGTGTGGCATAGATATACTATTACACATAACTGAAAACCCACAAATAGTAGAAGAGTAACTAGATAAACGGGACCTCCTAAAACTTAGACTCTTATATGCAACAAAAAATGTCACCGAAAGACTGAACCAAGAACTCACAGTTTGGGAGAAAACATTTTTTGGCAATGTATATCAGACAAGGTACTAAGCTACAAAATATATTAAATACTTCAATACCTCCACAAGAAAAAGACACTAATCTAGTTAAAACAGGTGGAGGACATGAACAGACACTTCACGGAAGACATGTTGGTGGCCAACCAGCATGAAGAAATGCTTGTGATCATTAGCCATTGTTAAATGTCCTTGGTT